CGCCCCGACCCGGGCCGGTCGCCTCTGCGTGCGCTCCCTACTCCCCCACCACCACCCGGCAGCCTGAAGAGGCAGAGAAGCGCCCAACAGCTGGCGGGCCATGGAGGAGGAGGCGGCGGTAGCAGGAGGAGAGCCCGCAGGAGGAGGAGGGAGGCGGCGATCGCCCAGTTAGGGTGGGGCGCAGTTTGGCGCCCCTGAGGGCCAGCGCGCCCTAGGCGAGCGCCTACTTTGCCTAGCGGGCGAGCCGGCCCTTAATGTAATGGTAGGAGACTCCTGCCCAATGAGCACCTTTATTTTTGTTTATTACAGAAACTGAGATTTCTACTTTCAACTTTTATTTTTCCAGCTTTTCAGATGACAAAAACTGAGGGGGTGGGGTGTTAAAGCGGCACACAGTGCAGCCATTAGCAGCTCTCTCTCTCTCCACAGTGTTGGGTATACTCACAATTCTGTTCACAGAAAACTTTGACGTTAATACTTCTAATTTTCATAAATGTGCCAAACAGTGCAATTTTCTTTGACAGCTAAATTATAAATGACGCATTTTAAAACAGTAAAATAAGTTTAGGCTTGAAAAGTAACTAAATATTGCATCTATTTCAACCTTTCCCAAAATGTCTTTCAAAAAAGTTCCACGGCTTTAAAATGTCCAGAAATTTAACATCTCGAGTATGAAAGTAAAACAAAAAAAGACACTCCAGAATACCTCAAACTTCCCCTGATTTTGATCCAGGAGTTCCTTGCTGTTTGAGAGAAGCTGCCACGCTTTGCCACGGAGGGAAGACGGAATCCCCTTCCGGCAACGCAGTTTCACCTACAAAGAGATGGGGAAGCGATTAAACAAATACAGCAAGCAAATGAGCAAGCAAGGTAATCAGAAGACCGCTTGGAATCTTTGCCTCATAGCACCCAAGAATGCAGTCTGGATCTCTGCTCACCTTCTGGAATCTGCGCGACAGCCATTTGTCCCAGTGGGCAAACATATCCAGCCACTTCAGTTCCCGTTGTCTGCCCACATCCACAGGGATAGCGCTCTCGCTGCAGAAAGAAAATAAGCAAAAGAGGACGTCCTGAGCTGGGAAGAGGAGGGCTGTGAGCGCTACCCTGAGCGGAACATCCACATCAGACACGTAAGACACGTGGATGCACGTGCTTATTTGGCACCATTTACGCTCTTTCTGCTATTTGTGGCAAGGGACATGCAGCGCACTCAAACTGCTCCCCCCCCCCCAAGACCTTCTTAGCCTGTCCTCCAACCCCTGAGGGACATGGCTACAAGCCCGTTACAGCCAGTTATTCAGCCACGCTTTGCGGAGTGGGCTTGTATAGCAAAGAGGCTATGGGACATGCGGCAGACTTTTCTCAAGACCCTGCTTGCTCGCTACACGGGTATCCTCTGAAACTGCCTTCTCACGCCACAGCTTCACAGTCTCCACGATCCTCACCCCCATCCCCCGTCAAAGGCGCAAGAGAACCTAGCAGACCGGGCCACCCCCCTGAGCCAGCATACGTTTGGCTGCTGCCCCTCCAAGACAGACCTCCTCTTAACTTCCATTTCCCCCCATCAAGTGGGTAAATCCTTCCACTGCTGCCACCCCCAATACAGTATACAGAACCTTGGCCAAACTCTGTCCTGGTTTTGCTGCTTCAAGAGGACACTTTAGGAAGAGCAACCACACCAAGGGGAATGAATATCGCATGGGTCTCCTGTGGTCTGCTGGAGACAGTGTTCCTGCAAGGCCCTTACATCACAAGCAACGCTCCCTCTCTAAGCTGTGGAGTCTTTTGAGCAAAAATTCTACTTTGTGAGCTACTGACATTAAAGTGGTGAGCGAGCGATTTGGCTACTGCATCAATGAGTTTGCTCTGGAGCCATCCTTCCCGAGCTAAGGCAAAAATGTGTGGGGCAGAGGCTAAAAAACTGTGAGCTAGCTCACACTCACTCAGCTTAGAGGGAACATTGGTCACAAGCAATGTTCCCTCTAAGCTGTGGAGTCTTGTGAGAAAACAATTCTACTTTGTGAGCGGCTGGCATTAAAGCTGCGAGCGAGCGAGTTGGCTATGGCATAAATTAGTTTGCTCTGGAGCCGTCTTTCCTGAGCTGAGATAAAAATGTGTGAGCTGGAGGCTAAAAAACTGTGAGCTAGCTCACCCTGACTCAGCTTAGAGGGAACACTGGGTCACAAGATTTGCGGCTTCTCACTGCCCACTCTGACCGTGACACTTGCTGGTTTCTGTGACTGTGATCTCTCTCTCTCTCTCTCTCAATCTCTCTCTCTCACTCAAACACACACACACACACCACAACATTAAAGCACCCAGCTTCCAAAACACACCAAAGCGTGATGACCAAGCTAAAGTGGAGGGTGGTGAATTTAACCGAGGCGCTGCTTAACTAGCTATGACTCAGGATTAGCTGGGTCACGGGTGGCGCGTGGGGGAAAGCAAAGCAAATAAAACCAGACCTCCTTGTATGGGGAGAAAATGTGAGAGGCGTACAGCGTCATATGCCCCGCATCAGCTTCAGTCAAGAAGCCTTGAGGAACATGATTGCACAGACCGTGCTGGGCAGGGCTTTTCACAAAAAAATGGCAAGAAACAGGAAGTGTGGCTTGCCGAACAGGAAGTTGTGGGACAGCTTTACTGAAGAAAAAAAAGACGAGCCAGGGAAGGAAGCAAAAATCGGGGAAGAAGACGGCTACGGTGTGTAGGGTGGGGACGTGTTCCTTTCCCACAGCTAGGCCTAAGGAAGGAAGTTTGTGGCCGGCACTCCCAAGAGCACTTATGCGCTGCTGCTTCTATGCCCTGCTTCCCAGTAAAGACAACTAGAGCCCTTTGTTTGGGCATTACTTCTGTGTCAAGTTTGTTTACGTAGAAAACGTTATAGGCTGAGGTGGCTGAAAAAGTAAAACACAATGAAATCTTAACACAGCATAAAAATTATTAACATTTGGGAACTATTAACAACCCGGCCGTTCATAAACCAAAGGTAAAGGTTCCCTTGCTCGAAAGCCAGTCGAATCCGACTCTAGCGCTGCGGTGCTCATCTCCGTTTCAAAGCCGAAGAGCCAGCGCTGTCCGAAGACGTTTCCGTGGTCATGTGGCCGGCATGACTAAACACCAAGGTGCACGGAACGCTGCTACCTTCCCACCGAAGTGGTACCTATTTATCTCCTTGCAATTTCTTGCTTTCGAACTGCTAGGTTGGCAGGAGCTGGAACTAGAGACGGGAGCTAACTCCGTCATGCGGCAACCCGGGTCTCGAACTGCTGAACTACTGACCTTCCACAGCCTGCAGTTCAGCACCTTAACCACTTGAGCCACCGCAGCTCTTCATAAACCAAGGCAAGCACAAAAAAACAGCACTGCACGTTTGGTGGTGGAAAGTATGTCAAGTCGCACCTGACTTACAGTGACCCCCGTAGGGTTTTTGAGGCAAGAGACGTTCCAGAGGTGGCTCACTATTGCCTGCCTCTGCGTAGCAGCCCTGGGCTTCCTCGGTGGTCTCCCATCCCAAACACCAACCAAGGCTGACCCTGCCTAGCATCCGGTTATCTGACGAGATCGGCCTAGCCCGGGCTACCCAGGTCAGGGCGCAACACATCGAGCAGCCTAAAATTATCCTCATAAAGAAGCAGACTGCAAAAACAATTTTAAAAGATCAAACCAGTCAGTTAAAAGCACAGGTAAAGACGTCTTAGCCCAGAGCTCGGAGACAGCCAGATGGACACTCGGCAGGCCTCAAGAGGAAGGTCATTCCACAAGTGAGGTGCCACCACTGAAAAAGGCCCTGTCTCTGG